AAAAAAAAAAAAAAAAAAAAAAAAAAAAAAGCCAAATGGTAAAGAACAGTCCCAGAGCAATGGGCCGTGAGAAGATAAAGCTGACACATCAAGTTTTGTCTTTATGTTTGTAAGCAGTATAACTTCCGCAGATACTGAAATATCATTAAAGGGATTCAAAGAGATGGCTTTGCAAGAATGGATATAATTATTTACATTTTCATAGAATCATAGGACTGTTTTATTTGGAAGGGAACTTTAGAGGCCATCTAGTCCAACTCCCCTGCAATAATCAGGGATGCCTACAGCTAGATTAGCTTGCTCAGAGCCCTGTCCAGTCTGACCAGGATTGTCACAAGGAATGGGGCATTTACCAGGGCAACCTGTTCCAGTGCTTTAAATCCCTTACTGTAAAGAACTTATTTTCTGATATCCAGTATAAATCTCCCCTCATTTAGTATGTGCTACTGAATATTCTCTTTAACTAATATATAAATAATGTAGCATAGAAATTGCTGTGGTCTTTTTCAGGAATTAATTAAACAACAGTAAAGCATTTTGGGATAGGTGCTTCAGCTATGAAAGCTAAACTTCACATTAATCTCTTGTGTGGAATGCTTTCAGGGTAAAGAATATGAAGCCCACCCTTTAGCAGAGAGTTGGAGCAAATCTGTCAGAGCTGAGGTTTTCATGGTACTTAAGCACTTAATACTTAAAATTCAGATGCTCATGTTTGTTGTTTACATGATTTCAAGGATTCTGATAAAGTGTTCCATCTGATCTAGCTTCAGAAAACCCAGGGAAATAAGTTAAAGGGTATGATTCATGTCTTGCATTTGTACAAAGAATAGGAGATACATAAATATGATTCCAAAATATATAGTTTACAAATCATTGGCATTATCTTTCAATGTTATTTATCTTTTCATAAATGTAAATCAAAAACTGTCATTTATAATTGAAGGTGGTCTAATTTCATTTGCCAAGAACGCAAGATTAGCATATATGCCTAAACAATTAAATAAAATATTAGTGAAACATTTGCCTCCAGTAAGGGAGAAAATGCTTGAAGTTTTACCATAAATTTGCATCATATAAGTCTGAATAAATTTATATATGTTATATGTGTACGTGTACAAGTGCATGTATGTGTGGAGGAAGCAGGATATGAAGGTGAAGTAATTTTAAAAGGATATTAAGTGTGATATTTGAAGAAAATAAGTGTGAAAATACTAATCCCTGGCAAAAATAAATATGTCCAGACATATATATATATATATATATATATGTCAGACAGCTTTTTCAAAATTAAGTGGCTTGGAGATCTTTATAGTTGAATGCTGTCTTTAGATAAGGGAAAAGGTTCAAAAGTTTGAAAGGAAGCTAGTAAATGACTAATTGCCTTGCATATAGGAAAGGACAAACAATGGGAAAGAATTATCTGCTGTCTTACTGATACTCAAAAAGATGCCAGTAGCTTCACAGAAAACCTGCAGTACTGACAACTGATCGTCTTTTTGTGAGTATCCACAGTTGACGGTGAGTTAATAAACCAGATATTAGAAACAAAATGATATTTTTCACTGGTGACTCTAGAAGAACCTGTATAGAAAGGTTTAGAAAGATTGAAAACTAATATATTAGAATTGGTAGCATCTGTTAATGCGCAACTCATATTTTATATGTAGGGGAAAATGGGTTTTAATTCATATTCTGAGCCAGGTTTTTATGGTTTTTTGTGTTACTATCAAAGAAGATGTACCAATTTAGCTTACCCAAGATAGCCTCTTTCTTTGCATATGCTTTAATCTAACATTCTTAAGCAGTGCCAAACTCTGAAAACACAAGTCTACCTTGTTTGAACTTGACGAGTGCAGCATGTTCTGTAGCAATGAGTTTCTTAACAGAGTCATAGCTCTGTAATGGGAAGAACATTTACAGTGATCACAGTACAGGTCACCCACCAAAAACGCTTTACTGAACTGTCAGTGGATACTTATTGTATTGCTGTTGCCCACACAATAGACCTGCAGAACATGACACAGATGCAACTTAAATGCCACGTGAGCATGCTATGGGGTTGTTTATTTTTTCTCACCTCTGCTCAGTGCATGAACAGAAACAGATGATATCTTTGTGCACTGTAATATGGAAATATCCATAGCAAAATATGTTACTTGATGATGGCTTTTGTGCTGTAGACCCCAGAAACTGAACTGCTAGCAGTCATCTTATTTCTCATAACACACGCAACATAAGTAATTCAGCATCCTTAGATATATAGTTTTAGCTACTGTTAATCTGCACTGAGCAGTTACTCTAAGAATAAAAGTCTCTATATTATGTTGTTATTACCAGTTCCTTCACCCATGCAGTCCCCTTGCTTGTTTCATTTACAGAACATTAATAACTAGTCACAATAAAGTATTATTTAATTTCATTCGTGAGCTGGTTGAACGGTCGCTGTGTATTGACACTTTTAGTCCACTTAATTAAACCCAAAAGTACAAAGCAAAAGCAATTAATTACAGCAATCAATATATAATAAATGTGAAGTACTGAGCACAAAATCATGATTCCGAGGGGCATTGTAGCAAAACAAATTTTTGTAAAAAACCAAATCTGGGCCATACACTGTTTCTTGGTGGGCATAATTTTCTGAGAACTTAATAGCACAAAGGAGAGAGGATTTCCTATCTGGAACTAATCTTAGATCTTCTTCATCTGAAACGGTTCATAAAACATACATGAATTTCACAATGATAAGTAGTCATTTAAGTAAATATATTATACGTACAGCAGGCAAGAAATTGTGTAAGTCTATCGATACCTACTGAACTCAACACACTATGCAAACAGCATATTCTGCTTGTGAAGTAGCTTGAAAGAAAGCATTCCTTAAAGATTGGATAAATTGCATAAAGTGGTTAAAGTCTTTTGATATTTTTCACATTCAAATGTTAAACTTGGCTCTTATCCATATGTTTTTTCAGGAATATCAGAATGAAAAAGTAGTTTAGCTACTCAGTTTAATGTGCTAGGCAATTTGTGAAACTTACTCTCCTAAAACACACTTCTCTGGACATCAAGTTGGATTTTCAATTGTCTCTATACACTTTGTATAATATTAAATGGTTATTTTGGCAATTGTTCCTATTGAATGTTTAAATAAGATGGTCCTTCTTTCACTGTTAGTTTGTCATGAATCAAATTAATCACACTCCAACAACTTTTAAAAAACTATCCCTCAAGAGTTTTCAAGCTATTAAATATTTTTCTATTATAAGGACTCAGAATTGTTCATTGCAGAGAATAAAGTACCACTTTTGCATACATTACACAAACATTTCATGCTTCATGATTCCACAGTAAATTTTCTTGCTGATTACTCGTAATCTAAGAATCTCCTGCTGTTTTATGGAGAGTCTTATTAATTTCATTCAAGTAGCAAAATTAACACCTGTAGAGAGCCCTTCATGATTTTTAAACTTTTATCATATTTCTAATAACCTACTCCATTCATTGTATAATAGCTGGTTTATTTTACCTCTGAATCTATTTATTGATTCTCAAGGTTTTTAAGAAGAAACCCTTCCAACCCTCCTTTTTTTTTTTTTCCTTTTTCTTTTAAATTATTATATCAGCAGGGCTGGTTATTGATGATAGATTATTTTGAGTTGAGTTCTTTCACAGTTGGAAGGAGAGCTGAGACATTTGTATGGAACCCCCATGTCTGCTCGTGTCAGTAGAAATTAAATGAAGTATTCACTTATTACTGTATGGGTAGAGATTTTTTTATTGGAAAGCCAGATTTCTGAATGGTGGATTCAGATGCAGAAATAACATAAATGGATTGTAGATTGTTAAAGGTTAATAATGAGGCTTAGGAGGGAGAACTTCAAGATACTGACAAAATTGTCCTTCTATCTGAGGCAAAGAGGAATATAAGCCATGTCTCAATGTCTTTTATGGTGAGAATGGATTATAAAAATGTTTGACAGGCTTCTGACATTTATCTACACATATATTTTATTTTATTTTTTTGTATGGCTGATTCTCAGTAATGCAAATAATCAGCAAGCCTGTATATACATAACATTAGATGAGATAATTTAAGGTAAGTCCTAGTTATGAAGAGGATAGTAAGACTATTATACATAATTGATCATAGATTTGATTTGTTGTTGTCGTTGGAACATATTGTGTTACCTGTTAGATTGCTTCAAAACTAATGCCTCCTATTTATTTCCATGGAAACTACAACAGATACAAAAGGCACAATAGCACTAGTTGATAAAGCAAATTGTCAGCTACAAAATACTATTTTTAAACGTGCTAGCAACACATATTCACCAGTGATGAACAAGAGCCTGCATACTGTGCTTGTCAAAATTCATACCAGTAGAGTCGCTGAAACGACCTATCGTCTCACTATGCTAACATCCACTCTTTGGTCTCCAGGAATGTTCAGAAAGAACTGATGAATGTCAGTGGATGCCATTTCATCCACATGGAGGAACGATGACACATCTTTGCTTCATAAACCTGTCCATGTCAGATGCCATTGTGACAGAATGCCCCCTCTGCTGCCATCTGTCGCATGGCAATGACATGTAATGGAATATTGATTAGAAGGTTCAAGCTCTACTGCCATACCACCAACATCTGACATTGGGGGCCAATGTAATATAAAAGGAAACATTACTTTTAGATTAACCCTAGTATTTTAAGAAACTTCTTTTTCTTTTTTTTCTTCTCTTTTAATGATATTCTGTGTTGTTTCACTTGCACAGCCTGAAAGGAAAAAGCTATATTTGGTTATCCCATCTGGGAGGTTAACCAGTGGCATCTGCAGCAGCAGGGTCAGACTACATGCTCTGAAGTAGGGTAAAGTGAAGATGGGATTTGTGTCTGAACCACAGGGACACTTGGTTGGATAGCTGTGCAGGCTGGCACAGAAATTCAGTGCTGTAAAAGCAACAGGGATCCTTGTAGTAAGCATGACAGTGATTGGTATAATTTTGACATTTATATAATTTACTTGACTTTTAAACGATTCCTTTCTGAGCGCATACCACAGAAAGAAGTGTTTCTAAGACTTGTGGTTTTGATTTTTTAAAATATTTATCTATCAGATAAAATAGGTTGAGATTGTCTTTACCCACCTGAGTGGTG